TCTATTAATATACACACACACACGTTTATGGTATTATCTATTTATTTTATTTTAATGTTTAATGTATTATTATAATAACACACGTTTCTGTTTCATTTATTTTAATTTCTAATATATTTTAATTAATTAATTAATTAATTTTTAATATGTTTTTTTAACACACACACACACACACACACACACACACACACACACACACACACACACACACTTACTGTTTTATTTATTTTATTTTAATAATTTAATATTTTTTTATTTTTTTTAACACACACACAAACACACATATGCTTTAATTACTTGTATAATGAAATGTATGGGGTTGATTGTTCTTATGTAGTTTGTATGATGCTTTGGCAATAGCTAATTTGAATTGAATTGAATTGAAAGAAGAGAGCAGACAGTCTGAGAGGTCATTCAGTAAGCCAGATCTGAGTGATCTTCTCTGAGCTACCTGAAATCTCAGTTATTCAGTCCGCATGACTTCACACAGATAAGGGGAGAGTGGGGATGTAGAGGTCAGTCTAGTGGAAAGGTGCTGCAGACTCTCAAAGAGAGGAAGAAAGGAAGGAGAGTGTGCATATAATCCCTGAATAGTGAAGATGTGAAATGAGACCGTGTTAATAAAGTAGGTATTACTCAAACACAGAACTCAAGCAGAGCATGTCAAATTGGTTCTATTTGTTCTAACACTGGTGAAAACAGATGAAAGACTTACATATTACAGTCAAACAAATTGTATGTGATACCACTGTTTGAAGCCCAGAAGAGAGCTGACTGTGCATATGTCACAACCCTACATAAATACACAAATGAGGGCTAAAAAGAGGAGTTGTGACATTGACTGATTCTGGGACTTCTCTAGATAATGAAGCACATTCAAGGGACCGAATGAGTAAGGTAATGTAAGGTTAAGTAAACTGTGAGCCTCATCTGGAAAATGTAATTCCAAGACCATCTTCCAGAAAAAGGATCTTGCATGTGCTAGCAATGGCTGAATTGATGTGAGATGGGTAAGGGCGACCCTAACTACTTGAAGTAATAGTGAGGTGTGTTTCAGTGAATGTATTTATAGTAACAGGTTGTTCTGGGTTTTTTTTCAGCTACATGGCTGTCATCTCTTACCTTCTAGACTGGCCTTTTCTTCCGCCTCTTTGTGATCTCTATGGGTCTGAATTTACATCTTGTGCTTCAGTTGCTTCCTTTGCGAGGCCTCTCTGTCTGGATTCATTTGCTAAAGGTTGTGAGTGAGGATGCACTCCCGGTTTATGTCCACTGGGTGGCCCAATGGCATAAACAGTGAATAATCGTTTGGTAATGTGAAGAAAATATGAACATCACTGTATAAGCTGAGTAAGTGAAGTTAATGAAGTGGTAATGAGGATGGTATATGAAAGTGATTTTTTGCACAAAAATACATTAACAAGTGGAAAAATCTTGCTGAATTTTGTATTCTGAAACTTTCAGAGCCTGAAGTCTTAATAATTGGATTATACAGTGAATGTCACAAATATATTTTTTTAATGTAAAAACAAGTTATAATAACTTTTGTTCTGTCTTGTACATGTATGAATATGAGGCACTCCATAAAATAAAGAAAAACAATACCATCCAGCAACATCTAATGAACAACACAACATTACCAGTGCTGTTAATGGGGAGTTGTGGGGTTTAACTGCTTGTGGTTGGGGAAGTGAGTGTGGGAGGTCTAGAAGAGGCAGGGTACGACACCCTCATCTGCCTCTACTTACCAGTCTGATGTGCTTCTGGCTTTATCCAACATCTCCCACAACCACAGCCTCTGAATGGAACATCCTGCACAGTCCAGCTCCTCTGCAATGCTTCCAGGGCCATGTTTGATATTTAGCTGATGCCGGGATTTCATTGTCAGTTTTTTTTTAAATTCTCTGCTCGTATTTCTGAAGAGGAAAAGCAAATACCGGGATTGGCAGGGGAGGAGGGGTGGATTGTTTTTAAAGCATCTGCCCTGGCCGGCTTGTCTCCCCAGAGCAGAAGTTATGTGTTAGGTCAGAGATGATAACTCCTTCCTGAAGTGCTCTGTGCTCTAGCATTCATATGTTGGGGGCTTTCAAATATTTCAAGGGAACTGGAAAAGTACTATGGCTGTGTTATTCTGTTCATCAATCACAGGTGCATGTTCTAGATACAGCACAATAATCAGTTCAAATGTTTTGAACCAGTTTTATTTCTCCATCTTGGGATCAAACCCAGCTTGGCTTTACAGTATGTGGTCTTTTCTACTTGATCTCATTATGTCTTCTTTGGATTGAATTATTTCCCCTGTTCTCTTTCCCAGTGTGCACTCTCAAACTCCCCCAACCTATTCTGTTGGATTTCTTTTACATCAGTTTTGTTACATGAATATTATTCAGTCTCTAGGGGTGTGACACTCTTATTCTCTTCCTGTTGGTTCATGGTTTTATTCACTTTCTGCCCTCTTCCTGACACACAAGATCACACTGTGAGATAGATTTCAAAAATACTAACTGTAACCTGTCTCGTCTTGTTCTCTTTACATTCTGCGGCCCAATTTGACCCGCATTAGGAAAAACAACTGTAGTCTAGGGGTGTGTGTGTGTGAAATCTGGTCGACAGCCAGATAAAACATTTAAAGCCACAAGCCAAATGTTCTAGCTACATAGGTGGTCTGAAGTGCGATGCTGTATGTTCGACTGAAGTTGACCCTAATACTTTTGGTCTGGCTGAACCTCTAAAGGAGAAAAAAAACATTAAGACTAATGTAGCACATTAAAAACTGTGCTTGGTCAGCGTTACCCATTCCCAGACAGATGATTGTACAGTTAAGAGCTTTTCCTGGTGTACTTTCACTCAGTGCAACCTCAGGAAAACAACGCAAAACCTGTAGTTTTACACACAGTGCATTTAGACAGCACAGAACTTCATTTCTGTTCATTTTAAATCATATGTCCTCTTGTATAATTTTAAGTTAAAAATAGTTGGACATTACGGAAAAAACTTTTCAATTATGATTAGATGATAAGATCGATATCACTCACGTCTGTTTGTCAAATATGACAAAAGCTTAGCACAAAAACTATAAATGGGAAAGAGCCACCCTTAAAAAAACAGAATTGTCTTTCTTACTACTGTATTTGGTACGGATTAAAATTATGAGATATGAAGTGTTACTTACTGAGCTTTACAGGTGCTGGTAGGAAAATTCTGATACTGTTGGCCAGAGCCAAGCAAGCTATTTCCCCATTACTACCATTTGTGCTAAGATTAGCTAACAATCTAACATTACTGGCTGTAACCAGCTACATATTAAAGTTATGCTACCAGCTGGGCGATATGGCCAAAACTGTTCAATCGAAATCAATAATTATTGCAATAAATGTAAGATTAATGTCAGATCATCATTACTTTTATATAATTTACACTTAATTACATGTTAAGTTCTATGTGTAGCATGAAGGGACTACAAACTTCATTATGCAACCTTGTGCTGTATAACAACAAATAGACAACCTGTTGCTTTAAGCACACAGCAACAAAGTAAATCCAAGAAAGTAGCTCTTTTTTTGTAATATATTTTAAGTTTGTATTCTATTGGTCATTACAGTTTGCTAACAGGAACACCAAGTTACCTCCTGCAAGAGTACCTACTCACCAAACATGCTCTCTCTCACTCACCCTCCTATTAAAAAAAAATTATGAAAGAAATTGCACTAGCTAATGTCTTACTTCTCTCACCTGCAACCTTGAGGTATTTGTGTGAAGTGGAACGACATGGAACTGAGTGTTGGAGCACACAGTCTTTAGGGGCTCTTACTGATTCTGAGTGACATGGGTTGCACATTATTTGCACGCTTTGGACAATAGTGTCAACCAAATTAATAAATGTTAATGTAGTGACAGAATAAAAGCAATTCAAAGAGTTTAGCTTTGTGTACATTTTTGCTATTACCTTTTGTGACCAGTACATTTACAGACAGACTAATAATTTCATACTTTTTCAATTACATCTTAGAAAAATCAACCCCCTGTGGCATCACTTCTCTCTTCCCTCTTCTTTAAAAATGAAAAAGTAGCGTGTAAATACAGATGGTAACTACACTGACTGAATGATTTATGTTGGTTGTGGTGTTTGCTTGAGCTAACAGACTCAAGTGAAAGCCCCGTGAAAATCCAGTCCTCAGAGGGGGGAAATGGCAACCATGACAACCATGTTCAATTCACTCCATTATCATATCATTTCCAGATGTAGTACATATAATTCAAGACCTCCTCCCTCCCCCCTGTTGGACCTCTCATATTTGCTCTGTGTTTCAGCTAGAAAGATGTTGGAAATCCATACACTATTGTGCAACCCAATGTTGCTGGGTCTGACTGTAAGAAATTAACAGTGTAGTAGTGACAACAGCATTGTGATAACTCCTCCCAGCAAAATAGCTGTCAAAGTTTAATTGTAACCCATCTAATTCACAATGATATATTACTTAATCTTTGCAATCCTTCTAGCTTCCTGTTGCAGCACTTTTCCCCCCAGCTCCTGCTGGAAGGTAGTCCCGCAGCGTTATCAGATGTAACCTACACCAACAATGTTTTCATTGAAAATGGCAGCAGTGCTGGTACTGTCAGACCCACAACAGAAGACAAAACAATTCCCAGAATGGCTGGAATGTTGCATTTTCCCCAGTCTGGGTGGTGTGGTTGAAGGGTCTTGCCACAAATAATCTGCTGTTAGCAGCGTGGTGAGCAGGGGGAGAGCTGTGGCCTCCTTCCTCACTCCCACCGTCACAGCAGCTCTGAGGGAGGGAACAACCTGTCCATCACCCTGACCTGATCACAGGGCTAGAGGGTTAAATAGCTAGCATTTTGTTTTCATGTACACTTGAGTTGTAGATAACAGGAAATCCTTTCACATTACACCAAACAGCCTTTTAACAACAGACTGCATGCACGTTTCAACATATTTTCACATCATCATAAGTACTGTCAAACTTCAGTGAGATAAGGAGTGGTAATATCCATGTTAGTTTATTGTTTAATCAGTCTTTGACTCAGTTGACAATAGAGGAGATTACTTACAGAATCTAAATTTATCTCTCAGAAAATAATACTTAAGTTTTGAAAGAGCATGGTATCTTCTTGTAAATCTCTCACATACAATATATACACATTATTTTGTATTATACATATACACTTGCATACAAAGTCACAAAAGCATCACATCTGAAAGTGGATTAATCTGGACTTTTGAGGTTTTGCTGTTCAAATAGCTAAAATGCATCCGCATACATTCGACACGCAAGAGCTTTGAGGGTGTTTTTACACTTAGTCCATCTCGACAATTTAACTGCACACAGTGGTTATTACTCAAATGTCTTTGCACTGATGTGAGATTATGGCCTCTCTGAAATAATAAACCAAACTCGGGCCTGAGCAGCAATTTGAGTTGGGTGTGGTTTTGATCAAGCTTTATCGTGTAGTCAGCCCATTTGTGGTGATTGCCTATTATTACCTCTGCCAAGGAGTTTGTTTCAGGTCCCATCTCATACTTAGCAAGATATTTAAAAAACAAGTTCATGGATTTCACTGAAATTTGGTGAAAGGTAGGGCATGAGGCGCATATCAACTCCAAGCAATCTAGCAAAACTTTGCCTACAGGTGGCGCTGCAGCAACATGCTAAAGTAAAATGATCATAATTCTTACTTAGCTATTCTCCCCCAAAAATCTGCACAATTGTCATTCACTATGTATAGTCTGATGCAGATTCAGAACAGATTGATCTAATTTTTTATAATGTTTGGTTGAGTGCCTTCTAGTTGGATGTCTCCTCACAAAATTCTATCCAGATTAAAAGCATAAAAATGTCCCATAATAATCAGAAATCTGGGATACATTCAATTCTATTCACTATAATATGAGCGTCATCATACGACTGATTAATTGAATACCAGTTGGAATAAAATCTCTAACAGTATATAGTGCACCAACTGGTAGCTGAACCTTAAGAAATGTTGCTTAAATAAAATTTTTTGATTCAAACCACTTTTCATTAGACCATGTGCTACTGTTTGCCTTCCAATCCCAAATGAACAGTAAGCATTAGGGCTTTGAGCTGAGTTAGGACTTTGAGCCGAGTTCAAATAATGATTAACTCTGTCACAATACATGCAGGCTTTTTGTATGGGGCAGTACATGCTGTAGCACATAATGTTAACACACAGCCTCGGTTGAAAATGAACAGTACTTCTCACAGACTGATTCTAGGTACACATAATGAGGATGGGGCTATGCAGCAAAAATCTTAATGTTGGACACTGTTTCATACCTCAACTGTAGACAAACAATATGTCTAGTCACAGGATGTTTAAAAAAATACAGTATGTGTATGTGATATAAAGTTATAGTCTTAATAGCTTCATATATGCTTGAAAAGCATCAAATCTGTGTCAAAAAATCTGGTAATCCTTTAAATTTTACAGTGAAGCCAAAGCAAACTTATTTGAAGGTGTAACTTAAAACTGTCTACAAAGATAAGTGACTATTTATTGTTGCCTGGGAGTGGAATATAACTAGTGTGCCCACTTCTAATTTCTCTTCAAGTGTATGCCCCACCTCACTGGTGTATCTGTTCACAGAATGATTAATAAACTGTCCCTCTCATTCAGAAAGCAAATTTTAAAAAAAATACACTAATGCAGTGAAGCAACAGACCTCATGCAAAAGCAAGTATCTCTTTTTTATTGTATAACATCACCATTTATCTGTTCAGTTTTGTGGCAGGCAAGAAAGCAAAGCAGCTTTATAATATGGAGATTACCTTAATGCATCTGAGCGGTATTCCAGTTCAAACTGCATCAAACACACTGTTTGCAGGTGATTGGCAGGCGAGACTTTGATATTTGGTGAAGGTTTTTAGTGCCTCTAGAGTGACCCAGTCGGGCTTCATATTTCCACTGGACATCCTCCCAACCACTCATGAGTGCTCATAAAATGTAGGGAATATACATGCCACCTCCTCAGGACCCTCTCTGTGACCCTGCGGGGACTGCTAACAGTGCGTGAGGCTCTCCACGCACGGTTCCTACAGAAGCGAAACATAGCTCAACAAATCACACACTGGGCTGAGATCTCTGATTAAGAGTTGATGTTTAATGAGTTGATTTGAACTGCTTATGGCTAAAGTGATTTCAGCAGCGATCACAAGAGGTATACCGGTTATGTCTGAACCCTGAATACAAGCTTAATATAAACATTTTCATGTAGTTCTGTATAACTTCAATGTTGTGTTCATGTAAATTAATAGTTGTGGAGCTTCATGTACTGTATGCAAGATTTAATCTCTTTATGCCTGCAAGTGGATCAAAACTTCAGAACTCAATCTATAAAAGACAACACCTCTATATACCAGTGCCAATGTCAAAGCTACAGGGTAGTACTGGTATCAAGAAAGAAAATAGCTTTTGAAATGAAGCTACAATTTCTGTAAGAGACAACTAATTGTGTCCGCCTTTAAAACGTGAAGATTATTTACTGTGATAATAACAAAATCACTCTAAGCACATTTAAGTAAAATGGAAAAAAAGGAAAATTCAGCTCTGAAGAGGTGGAACTGTCTTCTCATTCAAGTGATCAAGGCCCACTAGTTTGAGGGCAGTAAACACTTATGTTCATACAATGCAAGTTCCTTAGAAATGGTGGGATGCTGATATTCAGCAGAATACACACCCATATCAGGGAGGGAACATACACAGCAATGTGTAGTGCTTGCTAACAGGATATTTTTCGTTTGCGACTCAGATAAAACACTGCACAATGGGTAGTTATCAGTTGCTTGTGCAAATTTACTGTCCTCAAATTAGAAACCCACTTGCCTCAGAGGAGAGCTTCACTTTGACAACAAAAATAATAGCACTTAGTGGTTTTTGCTTGGTTTGTCCTCCCAATGCAGAACTGTATAGATCAGATGTGGAAGGTGACAGGAAATTCCACAGTTAGCTATGTCACTCTTAACACAGTCCAGAACAGCGAGGGAACCCAGTCAGATACTGGCTCTGTGGGGGGGGGGGGTAAGTGCCGGCTAGGCCAAGAGGTGGAAAAAGGGGGGGGGTGTCTGTAATCTCCCAGGGTCGGTAATCTCACGTCACCACTTGTTGCACTGTTGAGCGTTCGTGAGGGCAAGACTGCTCTCCGCAGTGCAGCCTCCTGAGCAGCCGCTGAAGCTTGTTGGAGAAGTTTTTGTTCATCTGCCTATACATGAGTGGCATCACAAAGCTGCTAGAGAAAGCCAGCAGTTTTGACACACATCTTAAAAAATAATAGGTAGGTAAGTAATGTACGTTACTAATGTACCCTGGTGCGCCGGCTACAGTGTGTACCAACAGGGTCATATAGTATGGGGTCCACAGTACAAACTGTACACAGACTGAGGCTAGCAGCAGTCTGTGGATAGAAGGGTCTAAGCGAGCAGAGTCCTGATCCAGAGGTGTTGACTCCTTCCTAATGCGCAAAATAAGCACAAAGGCATAAAGTACAGCCAAAGCTGGAACCACGTAGCCGATGAACATCATGATGGCGTCGGCGGCCTCCTTATTCTGCATTTTGGAGCACTCGACCATCTTAGTGGAGATGTGGTTGCACACATAGAAGAGCAGTGAAGAGAAGCTAGTGAGCACCGCACCTCCCCAGATGAAACCACACACATGTTTGGTGTTATACACACTGGACATGTACGTACGAGGCAACGCCCGCTCTATATAGTAGTCCAGACTGAGCAGCGTGGTGGAATACATGATGACCAGAGAGGAGATGTTGAAGAGGATGAGCAGGGTGATGTAGATCTCGTTGTTGTACTCCCACACATGCCAGCGGGTGAAGGTGGAGCTCAGCAGCTCCATGGGAGCCACCAGGTTGAGCACAAGGCCCGCGATGGCCATATTGACGAAATAAACATCTGGCATGGTCATGGAGACTTTGTTTGAGAGGTTGACCACGACCAGCAGCATATTGTAGCACAGCCCCAGTGGGAAGCACACAAGGAGGTAGATGAGGGAGAAGACCGACAGGATGAGGCCATAGTCCTGGCAGAGCCGGAAGTCCACGCTGGCGTCCGTCTCATTATAAACCATGCAGATCCACATCGCTGGGCTCTGACACGGGTCGAGTCTCTCAACAGCTCAACTGCAGGCAGAGAGTTAGGGAGAAAGAAGTTAGTTACAGCGGTTTTTATCAATTACCAGTATTAATTACAGCTGGATAATGCAGACAAAAATCAAATATTGCAATCGTTTTTACTCTGTGCTTCAATATCAATAAAGTCACAGTAATTTGTATAGGACTACTGGTACTTCCGTATGGTTTTTAAGTTGACAAAAAAAATGTGGATGTGCTCACCAAGCAGCTTCATTGCTCATTTCAGTGTGTAAGAACAACGAAATACATTCAGTGAGCGTATTAAGATGAAAGTTGAAAATCACAGACAATATCAGTCCCTTATTACCATCTTGACTAATATTACTGAAGTAGAGATCATGCATCACACTAGCGCTAACAAATTACTGGCATTAAGTGTAAGTATTACATTTTGAGGAAGCCCTCCATGAGCCGAATTCAACCCTCTCTGTTATAGGTTTTCTGTGCTAGCTAGAGGGGCAAGGGAGGCCTTGACACAAAAACATGTCAGCCACGGCACAGCTATTATGCCCTGGGTAACACTGTTAATTTCACTTCACTGCATCAGACTGGCTGAATATGAATGCCTCACAATATGTTTCATTTGCAAGCTGAGCCTCACAACCCACTATTTCTCCTCTTTGAATGCCACACTGGCCTGTGCGAGTGTTTGACGCCTCTGCGAGCCTTTTCTGTCTTGCTCTGCCCCTCTTTCTCTCTCTGTTCGGAGTCACATGCAGGGTCATTGCTGCCTGCGCAGTGCTGCCCCTGTGCTTTTTTCACAAAGCGCGGTCGGGCAGCCAGATAAAGACAGACACTTTCCTAACCTGAAACTTTACAGACAGCTTTGGTGTTACTGCGAGGAGCAAAGCACATGTGCCTTCTGTTCAAGTTACTGACAGGTTGACTGGGTGTCGGGCATGTGCTGATAGGTAGATTTATAAAGAGTGAAATGTGAATCAGGCTCTGGCGTAGGGCCAGTGAGGGCCGAGTCCAGAGGTTGGAGTTCAGGTCAAGGTCAATGAAAATGACCACGAACATGTTGGGAGCATTTGTGATCAAGACTCATGGGGCTGCAAGTTCTCAAAAAGCTTAGGTAATGCTGCCTTGCATAATTAACTCAGTTCATTTGAAATAAATTATTTAAATAGCTTTGGTCAAGGAAAACAGGATTGCAGTCATAAGTCACCCAAGTTCACTGTATTTTACTTCCTCTGTAATAATTTGGCTGTTATGTTTCCACAAGTTTGGCTTCACTCCCAAGACTGCTTTAAAATGAATGACTCTCCAAAGAGAAAATACATTTTACAATAAATGGTGTGTGCTAATCTGCGCAGAATTTCCTGGAAAACTCCCCCATGAAAATTTTGTGGAACAAAGTGCAGGAAGGCAGCTTTGTTTTCAAGAAGACGAGTAACGATGCCAGTAAAGGGGAAACATTCTTCCGTTCACTTACGCAACACCACTACAGAGGCTGCTTTGGCCTTAAGCCTCAGACACATACATACACGCGCACACACAAGGGCTCAGACCCTCCTCTATACTAATCCAATTGGCTGCAATGAGACTATAGTGGAGGCTGGAGCTCAGAGCTGGACTGGAGCAGGATCAGGAGGAAGAAACTGTTACTGTTTACAAAAAAAAACTGTCTTCACAGAGAAAGGAGCACTGGTCAGGCCTCTTGTAAACATGGCTCTCTAATATGAGCAGCTAGGTGACAAAACTACATAATTAGCTGTGGTCCTCTCCCATAGATTATGCACTCTTTTCTGTATGTGTTGTAAATTCAAAGAAGTTTGTTCAACCTTCGCTCCTTCAGCAACCTCTGATCACTTCAGGAGAAAATGGGGAAGTTGGTGATAATTAAAGAGGGCACACCCTTTCATTACCACGCTCATTCTGCAGCTTCCGATAGCTGTAGGGTACCAAACATTTTGCACAAAAAAAAAAAAGAGCCATGGGTTTGTGGTGTGCTGGTGTTTAATTACTTAAACTGTTGACTTTGTTTCCAAGAACTTTCCTGTTCCATACACCTCTGCAGACAGTGGTAGCCGAGTACTTAACAAAATGCCTTGACAATGACAAAGCAATGATGAAGTAGAGATTAAAACTAACACCACAGTAAACAGTGGAAAGTGAAACCTTGTGAAACATCTACCAACTTTAAGTAACAACAAAATATAGAGTACACAGACTTTGTTTCATGCTGAACCACAAGGCCCGACCAGGATTTCAGTCTTTTAAAAATAGACTAAACAAACAGCATTGTTGGCACAAAATATAGTCCTGACTAGGGCTGCTCAATTAATGTAATCGCAATCTCGTAATGTGCGATTACATAACCGCAAAAAGTGCGTGATTTAATAAAACAGGCAAGGTGTGTGTGACGCTCTTTTCTCCGTGTGCGTTACAGTTTGCTCATTATCTCCGCCCACACTGGGCTCTCGCATGTGCCCCTAGAAACAGATAAGCCTACGTATTTATTATTATTTATGAGCAGTGTGCCAGTAACTTTTAAGACAACAACCTACTGTAACCCCCCTCTGGGCGGCTGTGTAGAGCGGGTTGGCCATTAATCGGAAGGTCGGCGGTTCAATCCCTGGTTGCGTGTCGAAGTGTCCTTGGGCAAGATACTGAACCCCGATTTGCCCCAGTGTATGAATGTTAGTTTCCGTTTGAGCACTTAGGCTCAGTGTATGAATGTGTATGACTGGTGAATGCAGATGTACTGTACTGCTTTGAGTGGAAAAAGACTAGAAAGGCGCTATACAAGTACGGAGCATTTACATGTCGCTACTGATTCAAAACATAGTCGGAAGTGCCACCGGAGCAGAGAGAAATGCTGGTGCTCTGGTTGCTCTGTGACAGAGAGACGTCGGCAGCAGCTGAATAGGTCAGACAGAAGAAAACACAGAGAAGGTTTGGGTTTGGCTCGCTGGCCATTTAAAATTAGCTGTATCAGTGCCTTTTGCTGTTCAACATGTTCAACTTTTCACAGAGCCGATGTGCTTCTCAGTCACTTTTTGTTAACCAACCAATCACAGCCTGGATGGGGTGGAACATTAAAAAAGGTTTGACGTGCTACAGCAAATAATTAAATGTTAAGCTAAACTAAAGCAGTATATTATTGTTATACTAACAGTATACTAACAGTATACTGTTAACTAAATGTTATACTCTTTATTTAATACACTTGTGTACAGTTCCTCCTCCAGGTTATGGATAGAGTCTCTGCATTAGACAGATGTACTTTCAGCCGGTGGCAGTGTGCCAATATGTGCTGCTTCAAGCCGCCTCCTCTGTAGAGCAACACGCTCCCCTTGTTCTGTTTTACATCTGTTTTACTAGTTATTGTTATAAATATTGTTTAACTTTGTTCATGTTGAGAAATACACATTTCAAAATGTCAGTATTTCTTGCATTCCTTGATAATTAAACAAGTAGACTCATAGTACCATTTGTTCCATTATAATTGAATTGCAATCTCAAATTGCAATATTGTCCACAATAATCACAATATGACTTTTTCTCCAAAACGTGCAGCTCTAGTCCTGACGCATGAATAGAGAAGAAGACGGCAGTTACAATACAATATTAAGGAGCAATTTGTCTGACTCTGCAGATCTTCCGAGTTACAACAAAGAAGGAAAACACATTTATTTGCTATAACAATATTTTAAATCAGGGTTTTCACGTCATTGCACTTTTGCTCTGCACATTTTGCCAGCAGCTCATGATAGTGAAATCTCTAGTTTTCTACTCAACTGAAGGTGAAACAGGAGAGGCGGAAGTATTTATACCTGACTTGGACGCACTGCAACCTCGTACTGTATGAGCTATGTCTTTTTCAATTCAGAGTAAAGAGGAAGTCCACTTTCATTTCAAGTCTACTTCAGATTCCGCTTGCTGGGGTTGCGTGAAGGTCAGAGATATACTGTTCACATAAGTAAAACAACAGGCACTATACTCAGTTGCATACATTACCTGGCATTTGAAGTGGTGATGTATGTCCCTCTTTTTAAGTCTATATCAATGCATTGATCAAAGCATGCTAATTAGTTATCGAAATATGCACAAGAGGACAAGAGGAGGACAAAGCTCAGTTGAATTCTTCTCGCACGACTTTGACTTGGTTAATAAGCCCCTTCTGAACTTTTTGCCTTGCCTTTAAGTTGTAGTAATATTCCCTGAGGGGGAGGCCGGTCTTGAGCATGCCCCACCAAACATGATCTCATAAGAGTGACGCCGACGTGCTTGACGTCTCAGTGTTTTGAACCCAGATCCCGCATGCTGATGGGAGTAGTGTGACATACTGAGCCCACACCCCTTGTATATGCCCATTGGAATTTACAAGCTTCTTCTCAAAAAGTACTGAGTGATGTCATATGATTTGCTACTCGTGTCTGCAGCAACGTGCGGTGGAGCGGCAACAGAAATACTGCAGAAAGAAAATAACATCACTTAACTCCAGTTTACACACGCTGCCTGTGACGCGTAACACAATGACATTTTATGCACAACATTTTCTAGCAATTAATAGTGTAGAATTTAAAGTAACTGCCCCCAGAACTACCAAACTACTTTTGCCATGAGAGGCGATTAAGATGTAAATGGTTCATTTAAGAAAGTCCCTAAATCTTTCTAGGTACTTGTTCGTTTCTCAGCTGCCAATTATTCTTGGAAAGCAGCCCAATAACTGAGAGTATTAATGAGGGCTCTGACTTCAGGTGCATGCTAATGCTGCATAGCATTTCGCAAATTGAAATTACTAAGCACTCGGAGGTGATTAAAATACTTGCCACCAACTCCATTTCTGTGGAGGGGTTTTATATAATTCAGAACATTTTCCCAAAATCATTATCAGTCCCCACAGAATTGAGTGCTGGATTATTTTGGGCGGGGCAAGATAGCCTGTTTTTGATTGGATTCCTTACAAAATTCAGATTTTATAGCGAACTGTAGATACAGATCAGTTATCTACCTGCCTACTATCCTTGTTCTTCATCATCAGAACTTGACTGGTGATCCACAGAAAACCTAAAAGCTACAAAATGTTGATATTTCAATTGACTCACTGCTGAACAGTGTCAGATTTTCTCTGGAAAAACAGTACTTCCTCAAATCAAGTTGTAGTGTAAGAGACTCTGGTCAAGCACAGGTCACGGTCAGTCTCGACAGCTTCCTCAGCTTCTTTTTGGAAACAGGTTGAACTGTCACAGGAATCACCAAGGTCATAGATCAATGGGCAGCACAAAGCAGGCTTACGGTCATTAAGCCATGACCCACATGCCCACGTCCCCTTTGGTCACATGGATTAAGTTGAGGACAGCGATTGCAAAGCCTAAATCTCAAGAAGCATTTCATTTGCTGAAAGGTGATCCTTTTCTGAGCAGAACTACTTTGTCAGAAAATAGCATTCAAAGTTGATGTCAAATATGGTCAGGTGGATGTGCTGGCCATAATTAGTGGTACATAATTAGTAACTAAGGGAAACATCTGTTAAGATCTGTTATTAAATAGTGGCTTTAAAAGCCGTCAAAGGTTTTGATATAATTGATCAAAACAAAGATGTCAAGCCCTGTTGAAACTACTGGATAAAAAGAAAACTACATACTAGGAGAATATATCCATGTGCCTGTGTGGAGTATAACAATCTAACATTGGCATCATGCTTGAAGCAGTTTATTATATTGTATTTTATGAATGACTGTACATCACAAAACTAAACTTTATATTAAAAAAAAATAGTACTTACTCATCTATGGCCTGGCCTTTCCTGACATGTATTAATAGATTGACTGGTCCAGTAAGCAAGGGTGCCATCATCGTGCAGTCTACCATTTATAAACCTAAATCATTGCTTATTGTTAAATTAATACTATGCCATGACATTAGCTCCAATGGCAGATGTCCCATCAACAAGAAAATATTCACGCAAAGAGCAGTCTGCCACAACTTCACAACTACACTTTTTACTGCCAATGAAGAAGATTTTTAACATCAGAGCTCTTTGATTAAAGTGATACAACCTTTCCCCAAGCGCTTGAGAAAGCTGATCTCGTGAGAAACGTCTTCAGGTGTTGTTTTCCAAATATAAACGGGTCGTTAAAACCGTGGAGCCAACCACAGCTGAACAACGGTGAGAAAACAAACCAGCCCACCGTGGTCTGTGTGTGTATAATTGCGGACATTGTGTCTCTCCATCACACTTGACTGCACACATCAAAGCGTGGATAGCTGTCACGGCTTCACCATTATTCTGCCATTTCTGCGGGTATTGTTGACACAACTAAAGCTACTCACTCTCGCATTTAGCCATCTTCAACGGGGAGAATTCACCTTTCCACGACTGCAAGGTGAAGCTTCAAGCAAATCGCATTAGTAGGTCAAAATAATAGAAAAGGGAGGAAAACTTACCAAAAACGTATATATTCGGGTCAGTGACAAACCTACGGAGGCATAGAGTTTGGATGTAGCATTTCCACTGACATTTCTCAGGCGTTTCATTTCACAAACAGACGTCCTAAAATATGAGCTTCGGCTTTCCGCGCGCTCTTATAGCCCCAAAACAGCAGCAACAACAAAAAAGAACCGTTTTACTGCATGTTGATAGACTTCACCTATCAACTTTTCGGTCGATGCTTGTTCTGAAAAGGGGCTGTCCGTAACGAGACTTTACTACTGCTGAAGTGCTGCTGAGCCCTACAGTGTGTACACACGTGACCCTCCCCCACCGTTATTGCTGCTGCACGATCGCGAGGCCCGAGTCTACTCTGATTGGACGAAGGACAGGGAGGTGGGGCGCGAGAGAGGCCGAGGGAAACGCACACACACACACACACACACACACACACACACACACACACACACACACACACACACACACACAATACTGCAGTAATATATGAGAACAAGTAAACATAGTATGAGTGTCATAGTGTAAGTGGCGACTTTTGACTTCTAGTGTGACTCATCCACTAAAGTCATGATTACACTTAAGTAGCTTTTTTGCAGGAAAAGTCATATTGTGTATGTATTTCTGTTTTCCCATTCTCATGCGTTACCCAATTACTTAACTTGAACGCAATCCTAACCCTACATATGCTTAAATAATAATAATAATAATAATAATAATAATAATAATAAATAATAATAATAATAATAATGTAATAATACACTTTATTTATGTAGCACTTTTACAAATTTATTTAGTAACAAAGTGCTTTACATTGTGGAACTCTCATTAAAAACTTTCAATCATTTCAAGATAGAGGCAAATTAAATCAAGCAATTTGAAATGACATAAAGTTAAAAAGAAACAAGATTCCACACCAGTGATACAGTTAAAATAGACGTGTTAGACAGAAATGGAAGGATGCACTAAAATGAATAAAAGGCTGTTTGGTAGGGTATATCTAAAAGATGTCACCAATCCTGCAATGACAGGTTCACAATTTTTCAAGTCTGCCTTAATGAAAGATAGTCAAGCTACCACACAAACATCGCAACAGGTGTAGCGACCCAGTCATTTCTCCTTTTCATACTGGCCCTGAAGTCAGTTCATTGTAAGTAATGGAGGACACAATCCATAGTCTTAAGTCTGTGTAAAAATACATTCCAATGTTTACCTGAAGGTGAGGTTTCTGCAGTCTATATTAGACAAATTGAGTCTTTTTAATACAAAATAGACTAATCACTTACACTGAGAGTGCATCAGGAAGGGATATCACATATGAACATTGTAAATCCTGTTGTAACGTTCATATGCACACCTGACTTTTGTGAACCTATCCTTTAGCCCTAACCTAAACAGTTATCTCTGTAAAGCCTAACCATTTAAACAGTTCCGGTTTGAAAACTGCCTTGCAATAAAACAACACAAGGTATTGTGTTGGTGGGGTTGTGGTGTTTCAGGTTCCGGTGAGATATGAAATTTGATACAGAAAGGCCAGTTTGAGTAAAACGTTCAAAGTTCTTGTCGCTCAAAATGAACATTCAACATTCCCCGAGTCGAAATAATGGTCGCTTTCTATTATGGAAATATGAGGAATACGAGGAAAAGCATTGATTATCACTTTGGGAAGGACTGTATGTTACAATGGTGATATGCTTTTGTTTTGTTCTATTGAGTGGAGACTTTAATTAAGCAACAGAAGTTTGCTAAGAAGATTAAAGATTATGATGTAAATTCTTCGCAGTTTATAGCACATATGATAATCTTGACACGGAGAACAAGGTTGTACAGCAGATGTAACAGATTGAACAGTAGCTAATTTCACCATGCACTCTGATAGTCCATATTGATAATGGGCCTAGGCTTAGTTAGTAACTCAACTGCTTTTTTGTTTGCTTTTTTACAATGCCTAAAGGTTGCAGTGGTTTATGACCAAATACTCATATATTCATTTTATGGTTTATTGCTTGGCTGATTGCACATTCTTCAAGTTGCATTTTGCAAAGCCTGACATTATTGTATTTTAATAGCCCACTTAAATCGCAATGATTGCAAGGTCTCATAGTGATATATATTCCTTTCAGAACAGTACTACCACAACTTTTAGGTGCTGATGAGTCACACAGATATAGCTATAAAAACCCTGTTTGATCATTGTTAGACTCTATCCATGGGCCTGAGATAACATGGCACATGCAGAATGTTAGCATCAGTGCTTCACTGTCTACAGATCCATCTCTTAATTTCCTGCTCAGCACTTGACGGGAAGGAGGGATACAGCAACAAAGTCCCGAAGTAAAACCCTGAATGTCCACAGTGTTAAAAGAACCTGGAAATATTTCATTAAACTCTTAAAAAACATCTCTGTGCCCCCTCAGCTCTGCTTGCAAGTAATGGATTGGTTCTAGGCTAGCAATAAAAATGAAAAACATTACTGAAAGATTTTTGGAATGCACAGTTCAAAACAAAGTAGCTTGCGATGGCTCAGTGAGCGCACTCAAGCTTTATAAAGTGCATAGAAGTGCTGAACATACACTTTACACACTGTACTATGCTGCTTTGAAAGAACTGAAGTAGAAATCTTGAAATGGAATAATTCAAGAGCAGCATATTTCACTGATCTTATATTTAAGAGTTTGTGTAACCAGAGTCCTGTTCAGTCTAATAGATTCAGGTGTTAGGCTCTTTCTCATTCAGATATGTGTACCACAGAACTGATTTTGAGAGTATAGTGCCTAATTTGGTGGCTGAGACTTCAGGAAACTGTAACTCAAAATATCATAACCAGTTCCCTTGTTGTAGATTTCATTGAACATAATCAGCAATCAAGTAAGAACAGGGGACTCTGTGCTATATGTGGGGAATTGGAAAAATACATTCACTATGTCTACTTATCTTTAAAAAGTATTAAAGCAAAAATATGGAATATCTGAGTAAAATGTGTCAATTTTCACAACATGGCAGTAATTTGTATAGTGCCTTTCTAGTCTTTTTGACCACTCAAAGTGCTTTTACACTACATCTGCATTCACCATTCACACACATTCATTCACTCAGTCTAAGTGCTCGAACAGAAACTAACATTCACACACATTCATACACTGGCGGAACAGCCACCAGGGACAATTCGGGGTTCAGTATCTTGCCCAAGGACACTTTGACATGCAGCCTGGAGGAGCCGCCGACCTTCCAATTAACGGGCAACCCGCTCTACCTCCTGAGCCACAGTCGCCCATATATTATATTGTTATTATATAGTGGAAACACAAAATCCTTCTTTTTGCATGTGCTATAGTGATCGCTTTTGCAATGAGTTCTGCATCTCAGGAGTGAGTCTTAAATGTCAAGCGCGATGATGGAGCCAAATCAGAAGCAAGCAAGGTTAGAGAATATTATTTTCAGCAGATGACTGGGGATATTTTCACCAATTTAATATGTTGATGGTGGTGAGGCTCTGATCTCCCTTATAATCTACATTACATGGATAATATGACAACTGTGATTGCAATAATCGGCTCCTAAACCTGTCATCAGTATGACAGTATGATGAATATGAGTCTGGCCAGCACACAGTAACTTTGAGAGTGAGTCTCCGTCAGTGCTACTTTGTAAGTTTAAACTGTAGCACTTTAGCTTTTGCTGGATTTGACTGTGCTGAAAGATAGATAGAATGGCAGCTGCAAGACAAAAGCCAGAACAGCAGCAATAGCGCTGAAGTTTGAAGACCAGATGGAAAATCTGCAAATTAGATATAATTTTAAGTCCCCCCAAAAGGAAAAGGATCCTTGTGTTCCTGGCCAGCCAATCTGGATTTCTGTCGTATCTCTGCTTTTCAACTAATTGAGGCGCAGCAGTGGGGCAGCACTCACAGGTTTCTAATTTCTGCAAAAGCATCACCCTAGAGACAGGGATCAGAGTGACAAAATTACACAGTTCACTGTGTATACTTATCAGATGAGACACTTCCATCACCATTGAGAATTTGACATACTGACTGTTCAATACAAAGTGGTCATTCATGCAAGCATCACTTCTGCAAGCTTTTATTAAGTGATAAAACTAATGAAGGATTACACAGTACACAGACACATGATTTTGCCATTGAATTACATAAAAGGGTTGATTTCACTGATAAAGAGTTTTCATTTGGAAATGTTGCTTTGTTTAATTTCAGAAAGTAATTAAGATGACCTGAAATAAATAGCAAACTCTTCATCACTTACAGTCTCGCTTTTGTGCGAAGGTTGGGTGTTAATGCAATAATCCCTCACATATAATCTTCCGAGTTCCACAACATTAGTCAGATTATTCTACTATATACTATATGTTTACCATATGAACAGCTTATAGTTTTCTTAAGCCTTTATGGCTGAAGCTGGTCAGGTGGTTCTCTCAAAGAACTATAATAAAATTCCCATTTTTTTCCCCCAATGATCCTGTCCATGCAAATAGCTCTTAGTAGCACATTATATGTATTAAACAAGAAGATAATATTGCCATGAATCAGGATATGAATTCAGGTAGCCCTTATAACATGACAATCAAGAGAAAGAAGTCTACTGCTAAAGTAATGCTTTTAGGGCGTTGGTGTATTTTCTGATTTCTTTGTTTATAGTATATTTTATTTTCAATTTATTAGATAGTTTTTTAATTTATTAGATAGTTGTGTGTCATCAATGTTCTTAATTGCATGTTTAAATAGGGAACAAATGTTGATTAATGGTGGTTTGTGTGGCAGCGCCTATGGTGTGGTAATTTACTGCAGCAGGGGAGAAAGTGAGTGTTAGTGTTAGGGGCAGAGTGTATCGTGGCTCTGAGGACTAAATCACAGTTTATCTCCAATCAAGCTCTGAAATCTGTTCCTATTCTTGGAAGCCTCAGCCCCACTGTAAGGCTCTGGTCTGCATTTACTCTGCAGGACTTTAGGCTGCATGACGACATATGGCTTGTTTACAAATGAAAGTCTATGGTCAGCCTCAGTCAGACCCGGATGCATGTCAGCTGTTTGCACAATCACTTTGGCACCAGATGGCCACAGATACGTAATGTGAGTCTAATGATAATGACTAAACCACAGTGTCTCTCGGCACACTGAAATTCTGAAATTTTTCATCAGATTATGACTTTAAGTCTTGTGTTTTCTCACAAAGAACTGCTTTAATACCAGAGCTGCTACTGTACTGAAATAGGATGTTGCCAGAAAGTTCCAATCACAGCA